TTGTCCCCTTTCATCTTCTTCTGTCCTCTTTTCGCTATTCCTTTTAGGCAGTTCTCTTTAATTACATCCTAGTGACCTCTGAACGGATTTTCTTTTAGATCTTTTTGATGCTGATGGCTGGTCCACAAAGCCGCTACACGGGTTTCACCGCCGTACCTATGCTAGCAAACAGAATGCGTGGTAATGGTGTCAAGGTTTATAGCGTAGGAGTCGGCCCGGCGATTATACAACAAGAAGTTCTTGGTGTAGGCGGCAAGTCTGATTACATCACCTATGGTTCTGATTATGCAGGTCTTACGCCTCAAGCTGCATCCCTTGCTACTGCGGTACAAAAGCGTAAGTATTCTCGTTATTGATCAATATTTTTGACTCACCTTTACTTCGATCATCAGTAATCCATGGGAAAAAGACAGGACAACTGTAAATAAAAATTGCAGTCCCTTATAATATATTAAAAAAACGGCCTCTTTTATTAAAAACAAAAAACTTTTGAGTTGGCTCTATTTAAATCACAATTTCGAGATATCATTCATAATCGACAGCTCAGTCTAGAACATGTATCTCGAATCGTACACATTTGTTCGTTTGTTCTTATTATGTTCATTAGTTTATCTTTTTCCTTTATTCTTTTATAGAACGCGGCAGGTTTTTCGATGTGGCGTTTGTTGCAGACACATCTTCCAGTTCTGATTGGTCAAAGATCCAGAGCTTCTCTAAGTCCATAGTCAATTTCTTTGATGTAGCCAACCAGGGTTCCCATTTCGCATACTTCACATACGCCAACGGTGCCCAAATGGGCTTCTCCTTCCCAATACTTCAGAGTCCTGATACACCATACACCAAAGAGAATGTATACCAGTCTATTTCCAACTTGCGCCCTTCAACCGGAAGGCAAAGAAATATCCACCTGGCTTTGTCATTACTCAATAGTGGTGTCTTTACATCGAGGTTTGGTGCAAGAGCGGACGCAAGAAAGGTTTGTTGTTCAGTTCAGTCCTTGCAACCATGTCTAAAGATTAGAACTGGTCCAAGACCAGAAACACTATTTCTAGTGCTTTTTTGCTCTTTGTTTGAAAAATGTAATCAGTCATCTGATTGCCTTGAAACTAAGCCCTCGCAGCTAGTAATAAAACGACGGAAGCGGTCATTTTTTTAGGCGTATGTTAGTTCTCTGCTTGTCTGCAGTGAGTAAACAGACAAATAATAAGCTACCCACAGCACTTTATGCTYTTAGATAATCATAGCAGCTTATAACTCTGTCTCGTTATCCTTTTAGATTGTAATCATCATATCCAGTGGTTCGTGGGATACTCGATATCAGGGGACAGTTAACAGCTTATTCCGAACATTGAGTAACGCCGGAGTCCAGTCATTCGTATTAGGTGTTGGCCCGACAATCAACCAACAACAACTCCAAAGTGTAGCCAGTAACCAGCGATACGTGATTAATCCCAAGTCATTTGATGTTCTTGATGGACAGACATTGCCTCTAATTCAAACAATTAACTTTGGAAGTAAGTGCGAAGGCTTGCATTCGATAGATAAGAAAGGGAGGAGATGTCGATATACAGTCCTTTGACTAAACGTTGTCGTTTGATCGGCTTCATCCCTACGCGCCTAGACCGAAAAGGATCATGGGGATAATTAATTCACAGTAACTAGCTGCCGCATATGTTATCTAACACCTCTTGAGCTCGCTGTTTTCGATACCATTTAATTTGCTAAAACTATGCCTCGAGCAGTTTGGATGATGCAAGTTCTGGGTAATTTACSCGTTATCCTTTTCGGTCTAGGMGCGTAGGGATAATCCGATCAACGACAACGTTTAGTCAAAGGACTGTATGAAGGCGTTAGGACGGTTTAAGAGTCTTGGGGATCATTTTTATTCTTTGGCGCTAGCTAGACTATAACGGCACAATGCTCTCAATGAAARCATTCGTGGTCCAAAAATCCTGGACCCATTATGCCTTCGGAGACAAACCACAGCCTTTGTAGACTWAAAACAAGTGAGTGTTTGATCGAAAGCACAAATTGCGGAACAGAGAATAATGAAGATGGAAAAAAATTGAAGATTGAATGCTATAAGTCCTTTATCAAAAGTAGAAAGCCGTATGGTTTCTACGACCTTTCTTAATAAAAGAAAAACAAAAAAGCATTCAGCTGATAGGAAATTGAGACATGGGAAAGATGCTCCCCAAAAAAACAAAGGTTATTAGGTGCAAAATGCAGTCGATTACGCCGGTATTTTTTCCTAATGGCTTCAAATTAGTACCCTGCCTCGGTCATTGTTCTATAAGGTACTAAGTCATGTTGACCAAATACTAAACGAAACTCTTTTTTGTTGCAGAAGTTCAACCTACAAAACAGAAGCCAAAAGGTAAATTTGATGTTATTTTGACTTATATTTGTTTATGAAAGCAATGTTTAATAAAAACCAAAAAAAAAAAAAAAGACATTCCAACAACATACTAAAAGGAAGAATTGAAATAACAACGTGTTTGTTTAGAAAGGGTGAGAAGTGACAGTTGCCAACTAAGGACTGATAAATTTGTGGTCCTCTATGTTTAACGTCTCTAAGTGAGACGGCACGGCGAATGTATAACCATTTGCAAATATTTTTGAGGCAAAGGCCCAACAACAGCACCTTCTACTCAGATATTTTAAGACTCTTGAGTGTGACTCCGGCCGCACAACAGACCGGTGCTCAACCAATAAGCCATTTCATAGTTTAAGAATCGATTCCACTGCGCATGCGATTTTATGCCGAATTTCTCACCTTTTTTTGTTTAATTAAGAACAAAAGAAGGATTAGGCAAAAKAATGTGAGAAATTCGGGATAAAATCGCATGCGCAGTGGAATCGATTTTTAAACTATGAAAAGGCTTATTGAGCTAACAGGGAGGCGGTAAAGTATAGTGATACTAAAATTCGTTTGCGGGAAATAACTTCATAAATGGCCATTTTCGAAATTCCCTTTTCGTAAAAATGTGAGGAGAAAGGTAACCGCTGTTTAGTACCTTTTTCCTTTCTCCTATTTCCAAAAACGGTTGGTGACAACGTCTTTGCACACAAAATCTAGTTTGCATAGAAATTTCATCTATGTTAAAACAAATAGTATTTATTTTTTTCCCGTACTCTGTAATGTAACACAACACGTGCACTTATAAAGCACCGAAATTACTCAAATGTGAGACGTCACTTCCTCCATGTTACATTAGTGAACGGAGCCAGCGTAAATGAAATCGTAATTTAACTTTAATGAATATTTTGCAATTAGCCATTCTAAAGTTCAGTTAAAAATGGTTAAAGTTGGCATCTTGGAAATATGTCCCCTACAACAGGCCCAAAGTCCATTAAAGTGCCATTTCGACCCCGTTTATTTTTTCCTCCACCTCTCAATGGACAATGAACAAATACCTTAGTCTACAATCATTAATATGCTTTACCATCTTCAGGTCCTTTGGATATCGCAATGGTTGTCGATTCTTCCACTGAAATTCCCACCGCAAACTGGGCTCAAATCGTCAAGTTCCTTCAAGGCTTCGTTNGCATTCGCATTCCCGAAAGCAGGTGCGCCATATGATACAGCGATGGTTAACAGGCAAATCGATGCAGTTACTCCCATTGGAGGAAGTGGAAGAAAAATCAACCTTGCCTTACGTGATGTTACGCAGCTGTTTACTAATTCTGAGTACGGTTCACGGCCAAACTCCAAGAAGGTAATTTTTTGGCAGTTTGTAAATTATTAGGGTGGGTTTTCTTTGTGAATATCCTTTTCCTTGGAAATAGTTTAAAGGAACCATGATCTGTTGTGACCTACTTTTCTGTGTCATTAAGAATGAGTATTTTTGGTGTTCAGGAAATAGTAATAATCACTTACGGTGCTTGGCCCACTTCAACAACACCTGAAGGTGCCGCCTGGCTTGCTGCTGCAGCTAATCTCAGAAAGCAAGGCTTTGTCTATACCATTGGTGTCAGACCACAAGCAAATGAAGCTCAACTAAACAAAGCTACGCAAAATACTAACAGAGTCTTCATGGTTGATGAATCTGGTGATCTTGCTAATCTCTGGAGAAGATTTATTTGGCGAATGGTATATTGGAGAGGTAAGTTCCTCTAATTGRATTCTGTTCCATTCCATGGTGGACGGAAAGCCTGACAGGTTTTGCAACGCTCTTGATTACTAACAAAATCAAAAAACGATTGCCGCACTTAGGTTGCTATGTGCCTTTCTCTGTKTTCTAGAGGAGGTAAGAATATCGTATATTGCTATTTTATGCCTCAAAAGCATATATATATTTTTTATCTTACAAGATGAACCGAGGCCAAAAGTTACTTTGGATATAGCAATGGTTGTCGATTCTTCCAATGAAATTCCCACCGCCAACTGGGCTCAAATCGTCAAGTTCCTTCAAG